CACACACACACACACACACTTGCGGCTTTCAGCTACGCATTCAGTAGCCCTTTTGAAGACAAGACACTATACTGGTATATTGCGAACTAGTGTGCGACACCTACTTTCACCTCGAATAAGCAGAATATTTCTTCTGTGATCCAGAACTTCCGTGGGCGAATTACTGTTTATCATAGACACTTCTGGATCATTCTCCTCTTACTCTTAGACGACTCACCGTATCACCTTGAGTGTTTCGAGCTTGAACGTCACTGAAAATGATCAATTTCCAAATTATTGCCGAAATCTGTTTCCGAGATAAGCAACGGGGTAACGGTTGTATGGAGGGTACGTTTTCATTTTGAGTCACCGTAATAAGTAAGGAAATATCACTTGCGTGTTGATGGAAATCCTTGCCCGGTGTACACCGGGAGCGTAATTTTCATTTAACGATCTATACTTTTGCTAATATTCTCCACCCTCTTTCAATAGGTGGCACCGATTGAAGACAGCATGTCGTTCTGTTTAGGGATAGGCGTTTCTACACAATATTTGTTGTGTGTACAAGTATTAAGTTTTCGAAATCGTTCACGCTTGATTTCCAACGTTTACCTGGTCCCAATTTCCTTCCTCAAACATTTTAGCGCCTGATTCTATGTAGAGTGAGCCTACCGGACGCTGACAGCTACAAGGATTGTCCCTGGGATGCCATTCGGGAAGCCACCGTCGTGGTTAGTTCTTTTCTCTTTTGACGGCATGAGTATTGGTCGTTTTTATTAGCCTTCACAAACGTCACTTGAAGCCAATCATTGTTTAGGTATTCCGTATGGTTTTTACAAGAAAGAACTCTCCCCAGATAGGTGAATTACTCACAGTTTATGATGCTAAGAACGTGTACTCCGAGTGCNGTGCCAGAGAACCGTCTGGGTCGCGAAGCACTTTTTTTTTAGCTCTCTTCTAAGGAAAAGCGGCCTAGAGGTAAACAGTGTCTTACCCGGCAACGAAATATGAAAACACTAACCACTAAATGGAACCAGCGCGATAATTGCTGCTTCCCGGCACTATACTCACTAATGGATATTGGCCATGGCAGAAATGGCCAAATCGAGCAGTCAGTGGCTGTGGAGGATTAAAGCATAGCTATTCAATTTTCGAACAAACTGAACATGCCATCGCCATCACTTTCCGGCGATCGAAAATCTGGTGGCTGTGACCGATGTATCCTTGGTACAGGATTTACAGCTGATAAGTTGATTGAATTTAACTGTTTAATCATTTTACTAACCTAGAAAAGTACGAGTGCCATGAGTGCAAGAGTGTAGCACATAATTTTGGAGAGAATGAATCAGAAGCTTGGATGGAGTTGGGAACATTTGGAGTCTTCCCATATCAAAATGTGCGAGATTTAGAAACATCTTGTTGGCACTTTTATCTCACACCCGTAAGATCGTACTCGATAAGTCAGTAGAGAGCATCTAGCAGCAACTATTGATCCTTGAAGAGCTCATCACAATGGATATCCAGATTTTTGTGTACAGTTTAAATTTCGCCCATTGTTTTTTTCAAACACTTTGGCTTATTTCACAAGGGACTGCACACTTCCAAAGTAGAATTCACTGTTCAAGACTTTTTTATTATACCGCTTCCGAAAGATCTGAAGATGACAACTTCGCGGAAAATGTTACTTACGTCGTTCTTCATTAATATATCGTTAGTGAAGCAAGCTGTGTGAACGTAATGCACTGCTCACAAGGTTGATGAAAATTCCTCGACAGCCCACGGCCGGTTTCGTCCTTCTTGGGGCTCATCAGGTAGGCGCAGTCCCCGAGTTTCCATCAACCTTATGTTTTACTTGGAAAAATTGCACGAAATTAGCGAGATACATCCATTTGTAAACCAATTTGTTTTCGCGAGAGACTCACCTGGAACATCATAAATGACAGATTCAGCTGTGTTCCAGGTGAGTCTCTCGCGAAAACAAATTGGTTTGCAAATGAGTGTATTTCGCTAAGTTGTGTGAAGTTCGAGGTCCGACTAGAATTTCTATCTATGATCGGCTTTAGTCCTATGTGTTCGCAGTCTGAAGAATGGTCTGACAGGATGCGCGGGCAACTGTTTGCGGTATGCTACAAATGGAGCATCCCCAAATGCTACCGGTTGTGAACAACTCACACAACGCGTGGGTCAGGATTCTGCGCATCGAAAACACCCAAAAAGTTGCAGTTTCAAGCATTGATAAAGCTTTCTCTCGGAATTGCCATTACTGCTCTTTACACCCGAGTGCTTGGCAAAGTACACTTTTGAGGTGCCTATCTCATGAGCGCAGAGAAGAGCGAGATCGGTTGGGGGCTGTAGGAAAGTTTTCAATAGCCTTATGAGTAGTGCGACTGGAAGCTCAGTTGTGGATACCCAGTGAGCTACAAATAACCTTTATTCTTCGTTCTATGCCACACTGGATGCACCTGTGAGGGATATATATGCAGCTGCAATTAGTTGTCTTTTTCTGACTTTCATCCATTAATGGAGCAACATTTTCGGTTCAGTGGGTTTGTTATATTAGACAAACCACAGTGCGTGAGGCGCAGTCTATCGGTATAAATTCGAAACCAAGAAAGTGAGGCAATGATAAAGTGATGCTTGAGAGTCTTCCAGATTTGGCCACTTTTCTCCATATGCGGTTGGCTCAATGACCTTGTGGTTCGCGGATCAGGGGGGTTGGAAATGGAGTGGTTACTGTACGCCCTATTCAAGGGTCCGCGCTCTGTTTTCTGTGTCCTTACACACATATTTGATAGGTTGAGGTTAATGCTAGTGTCGGTGTGTCTGAACTATAGGAATGTTGAATGTCGATTTGGTGTTGGATAACATGAGAATGCCTTAAAGATGTCAAGTTATTTTTTTGGCACCTGAAAATTCGCAGAGGGATAACATTACCACAGTGTAATTTGTGCGCATCAGGCAATCGCCATAGTTGGGTCGAAATTGCAAGTGTTGCTTAGGTTGAATGGTAGTGTAAAAAGCGTTACACACAGTATATCCTGTCCAATCGAAATCTTTCTGGTTGCGATAGATTCGACTCATTTCACACGTAAGATTGCGATGCAAGTGTAGAGTTGCTCGAATGAGGGAACTCAATAGAGCTCACCAATTTCGGAAGCAGTTCAACTCAGTCAACCTAGTGTTAATACAGCCACAACCATTCAGGTATCCTTTTGGTTTGACCATGTCTATGAGCTCTCCTCTTTGTGGTCAGTAATACCACAATCGCAATTTTACCCAATCTTTTCAGAGGAAAGAGTCCAGTCCCTCCACAGGACAAATCAAGTTAGTCTGAATATATTTTAAGTCAACAGCTTTGCTGTTAACTATGTTTTATTCCAAAATAACAACAGTAAGCTGAGGCATGGTTTGCTGACAGTTCTGATCGGCATATTACATACGTTCACTTTTTTTGCTGCATACTAGAGGATGACCCAAACCTGGCAATATAGATGTTCGATTAGGTATCTTTCACTCCGTACAGTTATAAAGATATTTTTGGGGCTTTTGAATTCATTATTTCCGGGTTTCATGCTTCTCCGAATAAGCGTTGTTTGAATGTGTAATCTCATTTTGCTGCATTTTGCTTCAAACGTCAATTAAAAAACTTTCTTCTCTACAGGAAACCCTCATGGACCATTGGAACCCAAGTTGCCGGTGACTTATACATTGCCTCGATCTGTACACTTATCCGTGAGATAAATATATGTAAAGTAAATAGGTGGTGTTTTGGACATCCTACCGGCTTTCGTCAAATACGGCTGAAGCATCCATTCGCCTTTGGAATTTTATCTGGCTAACTACCCAGCTGGATGGTTCCTAGGGAAGCAGACAATTCTCAAGGACAGGTTACCTCGGTGTGCAGTCAGTAGGGTACAGCTTTTCAGCTTTATACTTCTTATTGAAATTAGGTTGGTTCCACTCACTGTAATGCTACTCGAAAAATAATAAGGACATGAACTCAACTCCATATCCCAAGTCTTTGCATAAAGCAAATGTTCATGGGGACTTAACTTCACCAGTTGGTTGTGTAGATACTATCTGCCGCCAACACGCTTCGGCTTTTTTCATGCTGTCTTAGACTAACATAAATGACGTAAGCTCCACTGTGTTGTCTCACATACTTTTTCGATGTTTTACTAGGGAAAAGTGTGAGAAATTAATTCATCTCACAATCATGAATCTCAATGTGTTTTACTATCGCAGCTCTGTTCAGCGGGGATAGCAATATTCTCTTTTCTTGCTTCCATCTTTGCTGCGAAACTACGAACATTTGTCATACGAGCGTACTTCAAAAACAACGAACAACTGTGTTAGGTGGAGTCAGTTTCAGCGCAGACAGACAATAGATTTTGTGGAACATCCTTATTGCTCTGGTCAAAATAGCTTCATTGAACTCACAAAGTGTGAGGTCCATGATACACGACACACGATACACACACGATTGTGACTCATGTGACTGATAATCTTTCTGCTGTAGCACTCTTCCGGTGTCTAGCTCCCATGAGGGCTAAGATACTGCCGGGTTGACCAAGACCGGACAAGAGCAGTGGCGACGCTCAGATTGGTTTCGAGACACGAACCTTCCGGCGAATAAGTTCGCGACCAAACCGCTGAGCTGTATCGGCCCATCTTATTCGGTCGCAGTTTCCATGACATGATGTGATATCGATGACTTGGGAGCACATGCAGTACTTTGCCTCATGTTTGGTTCTTGATTAATCATTTCTAGCAATCCCACAAGGGATGTCCAGTCCTTCTTTTTTGTCTCTTCTGTTTTTCCACTGTGAACCGCGTTCACGAGTACGGTGATTCTGGTCGTTTATTTCCTTGTCACAGACAAAGATAAAGAAACACGCTAGAAGAGTGACAATCTATCGAAGGCAACGAGGGGGAGCAAATATGGGAAGTTGGGTTGGTTGAATGGATAGAACAAGCCATTAGTTTCGTGGTTTAGCTGAGTGGGTTGAATGGATAAAAAGGAGCCATTGGTTTCGTGATTTAGCCGTATAGGGGATGGTCTCCAATCGCCGACTAGATAGATCTCTGGGTCCTAGGCTTGTAGGAACGCATGCATTAATGTGTCCAAGTCGGCGAGTTTGACTTACCGCTTTTTCCACGTCATAGCTTGTCTACCTGCTGTGTTTCAATGACAAATACTGCGCGACATGATGGCAATAAATCGAACTGTGAAGAATTGCAGAAAGTACCGATTAATTACGAGATGCCTAAAGAATTGCAGAATTTTCCGATGATGAGAGAAAGTATGAGACACATGGCGTACATGCTTATCGTAGTTTAAAAGCAGTGGTATTCTGTGAATACCCTGTATTTTTCACCGAATCATGTGAGACGATCATTACGTCACCCGTTCATCACCGAACTATGTGAGACGAGCATGGCGTCACACCGGATATGTTCTGTGATGGAAATAATTTCAAGCAACTCGATCTTGGTGCCTGCAAATACAAATGATACGGCTTGACAGAATTCTCCCATTTCAATCATCCGTTCGGAAACGTCATGGAAACTGTTCAGTAATAAGGGACCAAAATCCATTAAGTACACCGTTACCGTTTCATTTTTGACTGGTTTCGTCCAAGCATTCTGAAACGCTGCTACCATAGCTAGAAGGCAAGGCTATTCACAACGAATGGAAACCAGCTGATTGGTGAGGTTTACCGCGAAGTGAGAATCATACACTTTCGGGGAATTGCCGTTAATCTAATTAAGGTTCCATATACATATTTCGAAGTTTCTTATGAACACGGATCCCTAAAATTGGCGGTTTTTGACACACTGGATCTAGTCTTTTCACACATTTGAGGACTAATGTAATATTTTCCTTCATCTCATATCCGTGAACTTCCCGTTGTAAGACGTTCAAATAGTGCGTTGAGGATTTGTGCATCTTTGTATACCTTGAAACTGACTTCTGAGTGATAGGAAGGCTTTGGATTTGCATCACTAATCCACGAAGCTGTGCAATTCATGCGTAAAACACTCAGTGGAACAAATCCAGTCTTAATGGTGCTTTAGCGCGAGCTGGTTAGAGTGAAATCCATCGTTTGAGTTACCACAACCAACCGACAACTCGGTCATACACAATGGTCATCCACACATTGCGTGATCATACTTAATGGTTTTGAATGGCGTGTTTGTCAAAAAAGGCATTGTTTCACTTGTTGCCAGTCTGAACACTTCAAAAAGCTGGATGTAGCGACAGTAACTTTCAATAGCTACTCAAATTGTACTATCTTGTACCGTGAGCACTGTGAATACACATCTTGAGCACACCTTGCTAATCGAAATATTAGTTTCCTCATTGACGTGCAGTCGTGGATGATGAGCTGAGTTTCGCAATTAATTTTTAAAATTATCCGATTTTGCACTAGTTTTCAGTTAAAAAGCTTAACTGAGGCGAAGGGCAACATCTGCTTTATCATGAATAGGTGTTGAGTTGGCTTCAAAAGATCAAGGAACCTTGCGAACCGCATTTTCGATGTAAGGTTAAAAAACACTTGTGATAAACTTTCAAGGTTGTCCTTCACGAATCGAATCCTATCTTCTAACATTCGTCTTATGACATTATCTTTACCATGAGTCCCGTAAATCGCCGTGGTTGCTTTTTGTACGTTACATCCCGGAGTAAAATTCTTCCTCCTCTTTTATTTAATGAGCCTTAGCTCCAGATGCATGCACTGACTTTTTACCTAGAAAAACTGAATCAAACACATTAATGTCTCGGCTGTCTAAAAGCCTTCCGAAATGCAACCAGACGCAACCACGCCATAGCATTTAGATTAGCTCAACCTTATTCTTGGCCATACGTCTCACCTAGATCACCCACAATTAGGGAGATCAGCATCTTTCTAGAAAGTGCGCCAGCGGAGTAAATATCACACACAAGTACGAATATCCAGTGTAACCAGCTGCATCATTGCTGATCAAATTGAGGTATTCATAGTGGGGTTTTATAACCTTCTCAGTTGCCGCTACTCTTGCCAACGACTGCGTGAAGCTAAATCTACTATTATGTAATCATTTCCCCTCCAAAACCTGTGTGCAAACACGTCTGGCTTCCTTTTCCATCGTATACCCTAGAGGCACCATCTAATTCAAATGTGCCAGTCCCTTTCATCCAAGGTTGAAAGTGGAACTTGCCATCCACATCTTCAACCCGACCTCCCACTAATCCCTCTGATTTCCTCCACGTCCGCGATAAAATTGACTCTAACTGTGACACCATCATTCAATGGCCAATTATTCACCCACAGTAAATGATTTACTGAAGCGAATAATAAAAGCAGTGATTATAGCTAACTTCCTCTTGGCCTTCTCACGATACGGATCGCTCGATCGAAGATGTACTTAATACCACTCCGGTTGTCTTATTCGTGCCACCATCGCCATGTGCTTATTTTCCCCATGGTTATCTGATTTCCCTCCAACCCTTTCCGCATCCGCCGAATGGAATACACTTGCACTTTCGTTTTCCTATCTCGAGAAACACCTACGGATGACCGGAGACCTACAGTCCGTTTCATCCCTTCCCGTCAACAGCAAATAACTTCCGCATGTAGTGACGTGGATGCAGCGTCAAGCATGGGGTTCTATCACTAGGTTGAGTTTTTTCTCCATTAACCACCGACCTCGTCTTGAGTTTTTGAGCTGCTACGCACGACGTACAGCAGCAACCTAGACCTTATCCCTTACTTACTTACTTACACCTACTCAACCATGGAATCATTGAGTTGCTCCCCCTGACTATTGTCACAAAGTCAATCCAAATATCGTTCCAACTTTCAGTTCACAGCTGCCCTCCGTACTTTCTCACAGGTGTTCAGCTCAGTGTTCAGTCCAAGTACTGTTCATCTACTAGCTCAGTTGGACGTCCGCTTCAAAACCACCATTTATATAACGATAACATAGCTGCTCGTTACCGTACTCCATCTTCTAATTTCAAATCACATTAGGTCCCAACACACCCATCATTTGTGAATATTCAGCACACCTGGTTGGGAGTCTGAGGTTATCTTGAAAAATTTCTGTGGACATTCCGCTTTGTGAATGAAGTCGATCTATGCCGAAAGGCCGAGAATCATCAGCAGTGCGCATCTTAGAAATCTCCAAGGAGATTGTAACTCACTACCTCCTGGCTTATAGTTAGGGATTTAGCCGTTCAGCTACAAGGGCTAATAAGTAGTGTGTGCAGGTTATACTTACACCGGATACAGCGCCAAATATCCTTAAGTCACGGAATTCACGTCATCTGGTCACGTGTTAACTGGCTGCTCTTGTGACGACTTCTCCCTTGGAACATCCATTTTTTACCTGAGAAGCTAATGGGTTGTAGGTAGTGTGACGAGTTTCGTCAATTTTCAATGAAGAGTTGATCCTGTCAGTGGAGATCTATGCTGGAAAACTGAGAAGCATTGTATGTCTATACCATTCTTATTGTGAAGCATTGGTAGCGCGTAGCTCGCGAGACATACACGACGAAATCTCGACTGAGCATACACATTCCTGTATGATAATAGCTGTCGGTTTGGCACACAATCAGGTAATACTGAGGCAGTCGTGCGCATCCACTAAATTATCAAGTATATGCCATGACCATTTCGCGTGATAGATCGTCGCTCAGGACCAACTGGAGGGTTTTTAATTAACATACCTCA